GGAGGCAGTAGGGATCCTGGAGAGCTTCTGTCCGTGGACTGGGGCCGTGGCCAGGTTCATCTCCCTCCTCTGCTCCTGCCCATGAAGCTGCAGCAACTTTGAGGCTTTCATCAGGTGCTTCTATTCCCACGGGCTCCTGCACCCAGGACTTTCCAAGGTCTGGCCCTGTGCTGGGGCATTGCCCCCAGGCAGGAGCAAGGCTCCAGCCCTCTGTGCCCCTTGCTAGCACTTGGTGGGCACAGGGAGGCAAACGCCATGTCCTGGCCTGTGCAGCATGTGGAAACCATTAACCACCTGACATGAAAATAATCTGTTTCTGTATACAGTGTTTGAGTAAGAGGATGAAAACAGAGTGCCCGGTCAGGCCGGGGGGTCCCAGCTCAGGACAGGGCTCACAGCATGCTGGTCCCTAATGGTGGCTGCTGCAGAGGCACGAGCAAGGCCATGGGAAGCAGGGACTGAGGGCCACGAGCTGTGTGACCTGGAGGGGCAGGTGCTGCGAGGGTGGCATGCTCTGGTGCTGAGGGGTCTGCAGAGCCGCTACCTCAACTGAGGGCTGGGGTTGGCAGAGCGGCTACCTCATCTGAGGGCTGTGGCCGTGGTTTTGCTGCTGCTCGTAAGGACCTGCTGGTGTGGGCCAAGCCCCACGGTGTCGGGCAGTGCTGGGGGGTGCAGTGAGCATCCTGCACGGGTACCTGTGGCCAAGTGTCCCCTGGTTTTAAGAAGGGGAAGGGATTGCTTTGGAAAGCTGCCGTCGCTGCCGAGTTGGAGGGCCACGCTTCCCCCTCCAGCAATTACCCAGCAATTTCTTCTGCACATGAGGTTTTACATACAAGAAAAATAAACAGATGTTGCTGAAGTCAGAGTCCCATTCATCATCCGAAAAGAACAAGTCAAACTATATGAGAAAGTCCTTCAACTCAAGCCAAGACAATCACAGCCCGGTCCAGCTTGCAGAGCTTGCGCCGGGCTGTGCAGGCGCATCCTGGGAGCGGGGCGAGCGCCAGCCCCACGCAGGCATCCTCCTCATCCATCACCCGCCAGCACTCCCCCCGCACCAGCGAGAGTGGCTGGGCCCCGCCCCGGCGGCCGCCAG